TTATTGTGGAGGCCATAGAGGGTGGCAGGGTGGGGTGAGGTGGCGTCCAGCCGTGACTCACTCCCGCCGCCATTACACACGTGTCTTCATAGACTTCCAGACCAACAAATCCATATTTAGGTAACCAACAAATCTATATTTTCCCATAATCTGCATATGCCTTTTCTTTAAATTCACGTGAATAAATTCTGTTTAAGTTTCCTAAATAATGTATTTGTTTTTATTTTGGGTCGGGCGCCTACAAGCATTTATTTTCCTTCGTCATTGTGCCATTAACCCATTCACTGCTCTAATCGTCCAGCGACGATTGAGTGGATCGATCAAATACCCTGGAGATTATTTCTCACCGCCAGAGTTAGTTACATATCTGATTCCTTGATGGCGATTGTCTGCCATATTGGAAACTAATCCTGAGTGCTCTAGTTTCTTGAGAATTTGAAATGACACGAACACCATGTTCTACGTATCACCTTGCAGCCAGTGACTGTGTATTATCATCATTGCATAACTGATAATGTCCCGTTTTTGTTCGTGGGTCCTCTGGTTGGTTAGGTTAGGGCACTTTGGTACGACAGTTTTTTGACGTTGGAACGCTGGCGAGAACGGGCTGGAGCACCTCCCGCCCTTGTGTACTGCACGCCTAAGATTCCCCACACTACGCCTGTGTCACCCGGGGTATGGTAAATATAGCCTAACATAAGTGTTGACCAGACCACACACTAGAAGGTGAAGGGACGACGACGTTTCGGTCCGTCCTGGACCATTCTCAAGTCATTCTCATCGACTTGAGAATGGTCCAGGACAGACCGAAACGTCGTCGTCCCTTCACCTTCTAGTGTGTGGTCTAGTCAACATACTTTAGCCACTTTATTGTGACTCATCGCCTGCATAGCCTAACATAACCTCACACTCTCCCAGACAATTTTCTCAACAGGTTTCCATCAGACTAACAATACTAATACAAATACAGCCTTTCCGACTGGTAGTTGTCTATTGGTCTTGTATACCTGGTTTACAACTTTAGACGGAGTTACCGTTTTTATATACTCAATCACTCCACTCGCTCACTTTTTTCTTTGTTTACTCCGAAGTGCTTTATGGCATCTGTGATTCACATACATGTTTAATTTTAACGACTGCATTCTTAGGGAATCTTCAGGGAATCCCGTAACTATCTTGTACGTCTGAATCATGTTCTTCCCCCAGCTGAACTTCAAGTCTGAACTCCACTCGAGCAGTCTGTCTTCGTAGCACTGTCTGGTCAGCCCTCGAAGCAGTCTTTTTACCATATTTTATATTTCTCGATTTTGTTATTGTGTTTTTTGAAGCATAGGTTCCATGGTGGTGCTGCATATACGAGCACTAGTCTGATGTATGTTGCAACATTTGTTTCGAGAGTGAAAGAGAGAACATGTGAACGGAAACACTTGCGGGCCAGTAGGCATACTCAGGAGCATGTGGAAAGCACAAGAGACTATTGTCTCCTTTCACCTGATGCCTCTATTCACCTAACAGTAAAATAGGTACCCAGGAGTTAGGCAACTGTTGTGGGTTGCATCCTGGGAAGGGGTCGGTAGCTGGGCTTGAGGGAGACCCCGATAAGCGGATGTACATGCAGGCGTCCTGACCCCGACAAGAGGACTTATAAATTTGAATATTAAATTTTTTTTTTTATTATTAATACATGAGGTACATCTGCATTTGTGCAGCTGCCCTAGACTATATGAAGTGGATTACAGTGTGTCAAAAAAGCTAACTACGTGATGCTAAGAAATCCCCATCACACAGGATAGTTAGTCATACAGAGGCATGTGATAGGCAGTCTGCACTGGCAGACTCCGGATGCATTTTGAGGATATCACCAACACAAGGAATATTAACAATAAAATCTGGGAAAATCATGGTTATTGACCAGGTAGCTGCTGACGCTTATAATATACACTGTAACATGAAGATCTCACAAATACAAAAGACGTCCCGACAGCGCATCACTCCATAAACATTCTCAATACAAAACTTACGTTCAGTCTTCCATAAGAAAAACATCAGTTCTCTGAGTTATTCATAGAGTCATAAGCGAGAAAGACAATTAAAATGTCTGGTAAAAATAGGTTGGCCAATCAACTTTCAGATGTGTCCGTTGTGAGACAAAGCGTGGGAGAATCTAATTCAACGAGATTTTCCAAGTTCGAGGTGTTTTGCCGCGCCTGGAGCAGCAGGCTACGACCTGACGCCATTACTGTTCCTCAGGGTTATGGTAAGTGGTGGCGTCACTGGTGGCTGGGACCTGATGGTGGCGGTGTCAGTGGTGTCACGGGACCTGTATTTGAAATGTAGATGATGTTCAACGTACTGTCGTGCAGTTTGCTTGCACATTTTCATAACTGTAATTGATATCGCCTTCCGCGACAGTAAGAGAGACAAGCATGCATGTGCACACACACACACACACACACACACACACACACACACACACACACACACACACACACACACACACACACACACACACACATACACACACACACACACACACACACACAACAGTTACCAGTTGTTTGACAGTTAAAAGGCGGGACCAAAGAGCCAGAGCTTAACCCCCGCAAGCACAATTAGGTGAGTACACACTGGCGAAAATTAGAACTTCATTCAGAAACCTTAGTGAGGAGGCTTTTAGGGTGCTTTACACTGCCTACGTGAGACCAGTCTTAGAGTATGCCGCCCCATCATGGAGCCCCACCTGAAGAAACACATAAGGAAACTGGAAAAGATTCATAGGTTTGCAACGAGGCTTGTCCCAGAGCTACGAGGGATGGGATATGAAGAGCGTCTGAAGGAACTGAAACTTACGACACTAGAGAAAAGAAGGGAGAGAAGAGATATGACAGATATATATAAAATACTCAGGGGAATTGACAAAGTGGAAATAGATGAAATGTTCACACGTAATAGTAACAGAACGAGGGGACATGGGTGGAAGCTGGAAACTCAGATGAGTCACAGAGATGTTAGGAAGTTTTCTTTTAGCGTGAGAGTAGTGGAAAAATGGAATAAACTTGGGGAACAGGTTGTGGAAGCAAACTCTATTCATACTTTTAAAATTAGGTATGATAGGGAAATGCGACAGGAGTCATTGGTGTAAACAACCGATGGCTAGAAAGGCGGGATTCAAGAGTCAATGTTAGATCCTGCAAGCACAAGTAGGTGAGTACACACACACACACACGAATGCACGCGTGCGCGCAGAAAGGCACACAACGGCCGACTGGCGTGCCCCAGGTGGCCTCTATTGTGAAGAAAATAATTCAGTCTCCTTTGACCCTCTGTGTTTCCCTCCTTACTGGTTCAAAGCGCTTGAACACTGAATAACGCGCCCTCTCCCCTTCATCCCAGCCTCTCAGCGAGATCCTGGAACCTTTATATGCCATCGGAGTCTAAGGTTTAAAGGTTTGCTTCCCTGGGAATCCAAAATTTGCACTCAAGAAAATGACTTCTTGTATTTATTTACAAATTAATCGTTTGCCACACATGGGAGCGGCCCGTCAGGCCAGCTTCCTTACCACCAGTAGGACTCAGCGCTGCACAACACTCCAGCGAGACTTAGAAGTCACAGGTTTGGCCCGGCAAACGGTTTCTGGAATTAACCCAAATAAATGAAAAAAATTAAGAGGAAGAAAAGAGGGTTAAGGAGGCCACGGGGCAGGATTCATCAATGCACTTATGAAACCCATACCTCTTTTCTCAGTCATGACGGCTTTATTTGCATTTTAAAAGTGTATGAGCTTCGAATCTTCGCAACCCAATGTTATTATTCTTATAAACAACCTCGTAGTGAAGGATCTGGGAGGACACAGACCCTATCTACACACACATCAACATGTGTTAAGATGAGGAGAATCAAAACAACCTTCATGAACCTAGACAAGGATACTATCAGAAGCCTACGCACAGCACACGCCCACGAGACAAACTGAGGGAGCTCAACCCATTAGTAGTTAAAAGGAGAAATAAAGGTACATATTCCAAACCAACCAAAACTGTACGTAGCGAACATGAGATCGAACTAGGGCTAGGCATATTATTTTTTATGCTAGCACCTCACTACAAGAAATTTTGAATGTCAGAAGATAAGTGGTTAGGCTTCTAAGCCTTGGAAATACCTGAACAATATTTAAACGACTGGACAATATTCAAATAGCTGAATCATAATGCAAAATAGATTAGATAAAAAAGTGGCAAACGCCCAACAAAAAAAAGTCCCGCCCACCCCAAACCAAAAAAATCCAAAACGCCCAACAAAAAAGTGGCAAATTAAAAAAAAAGTGGCAAACGCCCAACCAAAAAGTGGCATCATCACGTCTTCAAGAGTTCTGTCCCTCTTTCGTTTTATCTGAACGGAATATGTTACTTTTCATCAAGTCTGAATGTTACTTTCTCGTCATGTAATATCAGTGGGGGGATATTAAACCAAGATATCAATATATAAATGTTCGAAATAAGACAAATGAGATTCTAGGAGTCCAAACAGGAAGTGTTAGCAGTAAAAAAATAATGTTATTATACAACTGTATCTGTTAGGCTACACTTGGATTATAATTTTCAGTTTTTGGGGGCATCTGTGAATAGGTGCAAAAATTGATGACAAAGTTAACCTCATACTGAACCCTCACACACTCAGCCCTCACCCGTCATACACCCATTCCTCTCAGTATACACCCAGTCCTCTCAGCATACACCCAGTCCCCTCAGCATACACCCAGTCCTCTCAGCATACTCCCACTCCTCTCTCACGCTACACCCACCACATTGGCGACACCCTTAGCCTCGCATTCACCACCTGTTGCGCATGGCCCGAGGGGGCGGGACACTGGTGAACATGTAGGGGGCGTGGCTTGTCGGGGGTTTGTAGGGGCGTGGCCTAGCGGGCGAGTGGGCGTGGCCTCCCCCTCCTGGTGAGGCCTGGCAGTACAATACGGCGTGTCGCTCCGTAGACTGCCACAGTCGCCATCAAGCCATCATGTTATTCCGAGGAACGCCAACCGTCGCCACCGCCGCCCCCTCACACACCGCCGCCGCCCTCCCCCTCCTGGTATCTCTCATGCTGGTGGCGTCGGCGGCAGCTCGCCTTCCCCAGGCTCTCCCTCGACCCCAGTACATGGAGGTAGTACGTCCAGTGCTACCCAACGTGGCCCTCGAGCAGCAGGGAACACTGCAGGGGGCTCCTCTGCAGATCTCAGAAACGGTGAGTGTCAAAGTGTGACTTTGTGGTAGGGGAGGTTTGGGAGGACACTCGTGAGGAGACAAAGCCTTGCCTACAGGTCAGGTCATGGGGACGCTGACCTTAAATGCTGGAGCAATGCACGTCTCGACGTACTACTGGCATACGGCATCGTCATAAAGGCTTGCCTACGGGTTGGAAACAGATGAGAGACCTTGTTACCGTGCGCAGCCCAGCAGCACAACAGAGGGCGGCCGGGTTGACAACATTACTGACCAAATATTCACTTGCTGAGCTACACGTGTCAGTACCTGACACTTACACAAGAGATATAATTCTTACCTCGCCACTGATTCCTTCTTGATGTGTTGTGATGGACCCTTTACCTCGCTATCATCCCCCACATCTTGTCCGGCTATCATCCCCCCACACCTTGTCCGGCTATCATCCCCCACACCTTGAACGGCTATCATCCCCCCACACCTTGTCCGGCTATCATCCCCCCACACCTTGAACGGCTATCATCCCCCCACACCTTGTCCGGCTATCATCCCCCCACACCTTGTCCGGCTATCATCCCCCCACACCTTGAACGGCTATCATCCCCCCACACCTTGAACGGCTATCATCCCCCCACACCTTGAACGGCTATCATTCCCTACACCTAGTCCGACTATCATCCCCCCACACCTTGAACGGCTATCATCCCCCACACCTTGTCCGGCTATCATCCCCCCACACCTTGCCCGGCTATCATCCCCCACACCTTGTCCGGCTATCATCCCCCCACACCTTGAACGGCTATCATTCCCTACACCTTGTCCGACTATCATCCCCCCACACCTTGAACGGCTATCATCCCCTTACACCTTGCCTTGTTATCATACCCCCCACACCTTGTCTTGTTATCATCCCCTTACACCTTGCCTCGCTATCATCCCCCACGCCTTGCTTTGTTATCATCCCTTTACACCTTGACCGGCTATCATCCCCCCACACCTTAGCCGGCTATCATCCCGCGAGTCCGATGCATAAAAAACGTGAATATTTGCTAGCCGCTACTTTTCTTAATAGGCTGAATCTATGATGATGGTTACGATAACGTGAAAAGCTCAACCAATTAGTTGAGAGACACAGTTGCCATCATTCTCCAGTACACTCGCTTGTTGTTGTTGTTAAAGACTCGCTACCTGAAACCAAAAAGTTCCAAGCAGCACGGGCTATGGTGAGCCCGTTACTGGAGATACGGGATCTTTCGGGTAATGACTTTTGTAAAGTCTGCAATGGTCAAGTGGATAACGTACTGGTTACACTTGCGTGCTTGGACACCAGGCTATCTAAGGTTCGAATCCTTCATGAGGTCGAGTTCTTTAGTTTTATATACACACTAAACAGAGTACTCTGTTTAGTGTTTTCAGGTTACAGTTGTGTGTAAACTAAAGTCTTTGAAAATGTAATAAGTTATTACGAAAAGCGTTCAAACGTTGCATCAGACTAGAAATAAAAATGAATTTTGGAGAATTGATTTTTCAATTACCATCGACAGTTAAAAGAAATATTGAGAAAATTCATAATTTTAATTAATTGAATAATTGAAAATTGGTAATTGAAAAATCAATTCTCCAAAATTCATTTTTATTTCTAGTCTGACGCGACACTTGAACACGTTTCGTAATAACTTATTACATTTTCAAAGACTTTAGTTTACACACACACAACTCTAACCTGAAAACACTAAACAGAGTTTTACTTAATGCTAACATTGAACAGCTTGTCTTATATACTCGCATTTGGGGTGAGGTGATATGTTGCAACAGTTTTGGATGAGGTGAACAAACTTTTGACCAACACAAGACAGAACACGGAGCAAGGGGTATAAATTGGATAAATGAGAGGAAAGAATGGAAGTAACTGCAAAGGGTCTATTGGCCCATACTTCCTCCTGATGCTTCTATTTTGGTACGGAGTCTTGAAGTGGGTAGAATATAGTTGTGCATTAATTGGCTGTTGATTGCTGGTGTTGACTTTTTGATGTGTAGTGCCTCGCAGATGTCAAGCCGCCTGCTATCGCTGTATCTATCGATGATTTCTGTGTTGTTTGTTAAGACTTCTCTGGTGATGGTCTGGTTGTGGGAAGAGATTATATGTTCCTTAATGGAGCCCTGTTGCTTATGCATTGTTAATCGCCTGGAAAGAGATGTTGTTGTCTTGCCTATATACTGAGTTTTTTGGGGCTTACAGTCCCCAAGTGGGCATTTGAAGGCATAGACGACGTTGGTCTCCTTTAAGGCGTTCTGCTTTGTGTCTGGAGAGTTTTTCATGAGTAGGCTGGCCGTTTTTGGGGTTTTATAGTAAATCGTCAATTTTATCTTCTGATTTTTGTCTGTAGGGAAAATGTTCCTATTAACAATATCTTGCAGGACCCTTTCCTCCGTTTTATGAGCTGTGGAGAAGAAGTTCCTGTAAAATAGTCTAATAGGGGGTACAGGTGTTGTGTTAGTTGTCTCTTCAGAGACTCTTCAGTTGACTCTTCCTCTGAAGAGTCAACTAACACAACACCTGAACGAAACGCGTTCAGGCGTCAGACAATTAAAAAATGAATTTCGGAGAATTGTTATTTTTATTACCACCGACAGTGAAGAAAAACATAAGAAATATTGAGAAGATTCGTGTTAGAATCATTAATCTTACCTTTTCGGTCATATATATATTATATATATATATATATATATATATATATATATATATATATATATATATATATATATATATATATATATATATATATATATATATATATATATATATATATATATATATATATATATATATAGCTTAGGCTTATATCGAGGTCTCCCCCCCCCCTAAAGGTGGAACTACAGACGCGGGTTACAACCCCTCAACAAGCTGACTAACTCTTGGGGACCTATTTACTGCGAGGTGAACAAAGGGTATTAGGTGAAAGGAAACACGCCCAACCATTTCTGGCTGTTTCGTCAGATGCTACACGTAAAAAATCTATATCAAATCGGGGGACACATTTTATGTACAAAATTCTTTTCCGTTTTGGCCCGCGAAAAAAAACCTTTTTAAACCATTTCTCAATCCTGGATAAAACTTTGTGATTCTGCTACATTTCAACTTGCTACACAACACAATACCATTATATATATATATATATATATATATATATATATATATATATATATATATATATATATATATATATATATATATATATATATGAACAAGCCTGAATGGTCCCCAGGACTATATGCAACTGAAAACTCACACCCCAGAAGTGACTCGAACCCATACTGCCAGGAGCAACGCAACTGGTATGTACAGGGACGCCTTAATCTGCTTGACCATCAGTGACTCGAACCGCTTGGTTCGAGTCACTTCTGGGGTGTGAGTTTTCAGTTATATATATATATATATATATATATATATATATATATATATATGACCGACATTGACTTAATCCACGAAGGAAGATTAAGACAGGAAATTCCTTACTTTCGTATTCAATAACACATCTTCAGAAGGATGGAATTAGAATTCAGTGATATATAGGCAGGAATGAGGTGTGAGTGCTTTTCGCCTGTACATAAATGAAAACTGTGCCAGGTAAGTCCACTACGGGCTCACCATAGCCCGTGCTACTTGCAACATTTTATTCCCAGTAGCTGAATCTAAAACATCAACATCGCCAACCCGTCGAAGCCGCAATAGCCAGGACATTCCAACATTCTACTGATCAAAATTATCAGGCATAATGGGGAATCGCCGACAAGCTGCCGGAATCCTGTCCCCGTCGAGGCCGCTAGGAACTGTGTCTCTCAGGTGAATTCAGTCACACTGACATGGACACAACTCACAGTCCCACGTCATCATTCCCGAGCCACACCAAAATACAAGCCAGATAGCAGAGCTAGAAAATATACTTTACCGCGCTCATAGAATCATCGGAACAAACTATTAAGACCGCCTGAAAGCACCCATCTACCACTATACGTCCATCTACCACCATACAACCATCTACCACCATACTACCATCTACCACGGTGCACTCATCTACTACTTCACCCTTGGGATGAAGACGGGAGAGATCTCATAATACGCTCATGGAATACTAAAACTAATATTATATAACTATATTGGAGAGAGAGAGAGAGAGAGAGAGAGAGAGAGAGAGAGAGAGAGAGAGAGAGAGAGAGAGAGAGAGAGAGAGAGAGAGAGAGAGAGAGAGAGAGAGAGAAATATGGTAAGGAGTCAAATATGTCCAAAGACAAGGCAGGGCCCCTGAGGCACGGATCAAGCAACAGGATATTCATAAAGCAATTACGCAAATACTTACGAACGTGAACATCTTTCCTCACTCTTTGACGGCTTTGGTCACATTTATTAAACAGTTTACAAGCATGAAAACTTCCCAATCAACTGTTGTTGTTGTTGTTATAAACAGCCTCCTGGTGCTTCGGAGCTCATTAACTGTTTAAGCATTGTAAACAAAGCCGCCAAAGATTGAGAAAAGATGTACAGGTTCGTAAGTGCTTGCTTTATGAATCCGGATTCAGAGTTGCGCCACTCCCCAGCCAACACAGAAACATCGCCCGAGCAACAGTGAAAGATTTCAAGATAAAAATTCACAAGTTTCTGCTGGAGTTAAGGGATCAGCTTGGCTGAGATGGCTGTGTGGCTCTGCGTGCCACGAAGCCAAACAGCCTCATAAACGAGGCAATCACCAGGAAAGGGGTTGTTACAGGACAACCATCTAAATCCCCAGGAAGTAATCCACAGGTGAACGCTGATTGACAAGTCCCAGGTGTGTTGCTAAGTATGGCGAGTATTCTAGCGAGAATATTCTCGCGAATATTCTTACACGGAGGATATTCTTACACGGAGGATATTCTTACACGGAGGATATTCTTACACGGAGGATATTCTTATCATGACCACATATCACAAAATACGACCATACTCTGGTCGTAATGGCTTGGAGCTTTCCCCCATGATAAGTC